GGAGAGGGGGTTGGCTTCTGTTGTGTCTGATTCGGGAGGTAAACACTAAACAGAGCGCTTTCCAGCAAACCCTTCGGGGATCACGGGCCTCACTAAGGAACGGAGTCACCCAGGAGGAGCAGTGGCCAGGCAAGTGCCGGCCTGTGAAGAAAGCCAATCTTTGTGCCTGCGGCTTGGACGTGAGTCTGCCAAAGCGGGACCACGCCTGGGCTGGTCCGCTTCCCCCTGGGGAATGTCACAGCTGCCACTCTTGGGCCCGTTAGAGACATCTGTCTCTCCTGGCTCCAGCCGGCAGAGCTGTGCAGGAACAGGCCTGCTCACCGCCTGCTCACAAGCCCCATGGGAAATCCTGCCAGCCGGCAAAGGAGTCTACCACTCCGCGGAAAGTTAGCCAGCTCCATTTGTTTCCTTTAGAAGCCCAATCAAAACAGTGTCATTTAAGAGATCCTTCCCACAGCTGGGAAACTGATGCACAGAAAGACCCTCTTTTTGGGGGGGTGGGAAGGAAGGGGCAGGGCGACATTTTCAACCTGAGGTGCTTTTCCCCTTGGGGAATGATGAGCCTTTATTCTTTACCCCAGGCTCTGTGCAGGGACCCGGGAAGCTGGTGGAATTACCCTTTAGAAAGGGGGCCTGTCTGCCTGCTGCCCGGACCGGGGAGAACAATTCTATTCTCCTTGGCTCCATCCTCCTCTGAGTGGGACAGCAGCTCTGAATGGCCAATCGAATCCGAGTGAGGCGAATAGTCATTTAAGCTTTGATCATCCAGGAGTGGCTTTTGGGGCGACCTTTGCCCAGAACAGCAACATCTGCTAGGATGCAGGTAGTTGGCATCCGGGTGCAGCAAGGACAAAGTGGCTTTGAAAATTGCCCATTTGCCTGCTTGGAGGTGCCTTTTCCCTCTGCTGGAAGGGGATCTTATTTGAATTTTCCAGTGTACCCGTTACAAAATAAATGCCAGGGGTGCGCACAGGTTGTAGTTAAAGAGCAAGTCTGGGAATCAGACCTGGGTTCTTTCCCTGGTTCTCTATCTGGCTTTGGTTGCCTTTGTTGACTCCTCTGTAAAATGGGGATAATTCTTTCTAAAGCATTCATTGGTGGGCTGTGAGGCTTAAAAATACAGAAATGCTTTGAGATCCTCTGTTGGGAAAGTAGCATAAGGATGCTATATGGTACTGTTGAAGGACAACGCCAGAAACGAGGTACACGTTGAACTCTCTGGTCCGGCAACATCCGTGATCCGGCATGATTTTAATTAGCTGGATGTCCACTTAGCATGCATGTGGCTTAGTTTCCCGTGGTCCCCTAAAGTTTGTTTCCAGCCACCAGTCCTGGCTCTGTGCTGTTATTTAGCTCTAATTTACCCCAACATGTCTTCTAAGAGCCCTGAAGCAGTGGAAGTGTTGGTCATGCTGCTAGACACTATTGACTTCCTGTGGTTTGGCAAATTCTCTGGTCGGGTCCTGAGGGTTCCGGTTCAACCTGCACCTTGGAGTTCACCGTACCAGGGAAGGTCTGTGCCTATGTTCTGTAAACTGTGCTCCTTACCCTTGATAGGAATGGGAATTTCATGAATGCCTTTGCTTCCAGTTTTTCAAAAGGGAAAGATTTTGGGGCCCCAACTAGTGATGCCTGACTTTCAAGGGACCTGGTACTCAGAGCTCAGCGCTGTCTGACAATCAGGATCCTTTAAAGTGTTTCAGGCCGGTGCCCCAGACATGCACAGCGACGCATCAATTTAAAAAATCTTCAGATTTTGTTCAGAGCCAGCATTTGCTTTCTGCCTCCCAGCTCCTTTTTTTTCCCTCTCTCCTGTGTGTCTGGTTGAAAACATCCTTCTCAGGTGGGCTCCTTTGCAGTGCGGGCCCTGTGTTCAAAGATGATTCTCGCTGCTCCGTAAAGCTGTCAGCATGCCAAATTCACGAGCCTTTCCCTTTGGGCTTGCCGAGCGACAGCCGAAGGAGTTGGAGCCTCAGAGCACAGTGCCTGCTTTGAGATTCCGAGGCAGAGATGTGAGTCTGATTAGCACCAGAGACAGGAATCCTCCGAAAGTTCCTCTTTTCAGTTTTTCCCTGGCTCCCTTCCTACACCCGTGCAGTCCAGACTGACCTGATCTCAAAGCAGGTCATTCATCAGCGCAGATTATTTCTTTGTGAGTTACATGCCGATTGGCAGAGCCTGGCTGGAATCCACCTTGTTATTCACTTGGTGAGTTATGATCATGTGTGACCCATTTGTGTGTGCGGTGGGGTCTGGGAAACATGAAGCTCCCACATCAAATGCTGCTAACTCAATGCAGGTGAGAATTCACTGCTGAAAGTGAGCTTACACTCTACATGGAAGGTCCAAATCCGTGTCCCATCTCTCGTTGATTTCGCTGAAGCCCAGAGCTGCCTCTGTGAGCAGGTAACTCAACAGAGCAGCTTCCTGTCTCCAGAGAGTTTATGAATGAACTTCCCAGGCCTGCGGCTGTCCCTGTGTTGGGAGACACTTGTGTGGCTGCTAGAGCGCATCAGTGCAGAAGGAGCTATTGAGAAGCATAGAGCCTTTTCCCTAGCCCATCTTTGGCTGATCTGAGAGTTGAAGCCCCTCCATTAAAGAGGTAACTGCAGGCTCAAAGGCAGGGATGGGGAACCTTTTTTGGTTTGGGGGCCACTGACCCACAGAAGAATCAGTCGGGGGCTGCAAGTGAGAAGCCAAAAACAAAACCCAACTCACTGGCATGACCCCACATTCCCCTCATAAGCCAGAGCCTAGTTGAGCCCGGGCTAATCGATTTCCCCTGGGGAAAAGCCTCCAGGCAGCTTTTGCGCACCAGCTGGGGAGGGGGAATGGCGGCACAGGAAGGTGATTCCTCCCACCCCAGCAGAGCCCGTGGGTCGGCTCCAGCTCTGGCTTGCAAGCCACGCAGCTCCTCCCTCCACAGTGGGACACGGCACGGAGCTCCAGGCCCACAAGGAGAGCTGCAGGGGAGGGAGCGATGGGGCTGGAGCACCAGCGTGGGCTCCCCAATTCGGAGGGGGGGGCAGGGAGCCCCAAACCTCAAGGGCTGGATCCAGGCAAACCAGGGGCCGGATTCAGCCTCCAGGCCTTAGATTCCCCACCCTTGCTCAAAGGCCTCCTGGTCTCTCCAGTAGCCCTTAGTTGTGTGTGCCATCCTGTCAATTGAACAGAATTCCTCGTGAGCTCAGGTGGCAGGGTTGGGTTGTGTAGCATGAAGCCTGGCAACCAAACCCCTTCTTTCTCCCTCCCTTTGTTTCGTCCGCTCGGGTAGGGCAGCTGGGCATTGCCCCTGTACGTTCTCTGCAGATTCCCCTACGTCCGACTTTCTTTTCTCCTGCTGGGTCACATCCCTGGTCCGGGAGTGCTTTACGATCGCGCCATGGGGACCAGGAACAGGTGCTGCTGGGGTGTTTTACTGACACATGAACTATTCCAGAGCGCCTCTGTCATCACTTGCGTGTCAGCGTTAGACGCTCACATCTGTTTCCTGAGTTTCCTGCCGCGTTTGTTATCTGCAGCCCAAAAGCTACATATTTCTTAAGCCTTGGAATGGCTCCCTGCCACCCGTGCCCCAGCCTGATGCTTCGGTGGTAGGCTGTGTTCGCCAGGCCGGTGTATTAATCAAAGAAAACTCCCAGCGCCGTGTGAAAGCTGGCGACAGGCCGGCAGGACGGCACATCAAGCCCCTGTGAGTTTGCCTCCCTCCCACCCCTGGAATTCCACTGTTTCAGCTGCACCGTGGAGCAAGCTTGTTTTGGCAAAGGGGGAAGCATCTGTTGGGAGAACGGCTCTGAAAAACCGCCCGCGTTGGCTCTCTTGTCTGCGGCGCTGTCCCCTCTCTGAATGGCTCCGGGAAGCTTTTGTGTGAGACTGTGGTAGGAAGATGTGGGATTGGCCCAGAAGGAGGGTGTCCTCCGCGCTGAGTGGATGCTGCCGCATTCCTCTCTCTTGTGACCCAGCTCGCTAATGAGCGATGTAACGAGCTGTTCTGCTAGGGCAGAGCCGGAGACAGATGCTTTGGGTAGATTTGCTGAGATGGGGCATTGCCATTTCAGGCCCTCCTTAGTGTGAATACTTTTACTTTTCCCTCCCTCAAGCGTGGCAACCGGTGTTTCCTTGAAGCTGAGCAGTCGGGCGGCCACCCCGGAGAGATTGAAATGCCAACCAGCTGATTGACAGAACACCCACAGCTGGCAGCATGTGTGTCTACTGGTGGTGCACATCCACACATATCTCGGTGCACAGAACAAAATTTATTCCGCACATGGCTGGGGAAAAATTAGAGGGAACATGGATGGCCATTCTCTACCTGTGTCCCTTGCCTTTTGGCTCTTCCCCCTGTTTGTATTAGCATTTAGTAAGGCTGGGATTCGGGGAGAGTCAGGGTTACTTACAATGGGGCTTGTTACGTTTGGCTAATTTAACTAATGGGAAAATCTCTTCTCAGCTGCCATTCACCCATCCAAGAGTTCATGTGAGAGCTCTTTGCTCTTCACCACAAAGCCCTTGGTGCCTCTGTTTTTGCCTGACTTCCTTCCTTTAAAACCAGACAGACCAAAGCACTTGAAAATACCATGGGGAAAAACCTTCCCCCTCCCAAAAAAAAGGGGTTGGATAATACGTCCGACCAGGCGTTTCCCACGATTCTCTCTAGCTCTGCTTTTTTTGCTCTGTTTATTATTCTCCATGCCCAGCCCACATGGACCCAGGAGTGTGCATAGAATTGGGGGGAGGGAGGGTTAAACCCTGAGTGGGGGAAGGAAGCAGCACCTGGTTGTAAGGATGGGGCTCGTTAGCTGATCCCAAACGACTGGGGCTTCAGAGTTAGAGCTTCCACTGTGTCAGTTTCCTGCACAAATTCACCCACGAGCTTGGCGAGCAACATACAGGGAGATACTTAAAGCGCCTTGTGGTGCCTGAGAAGGAAGGTATTG